CTCACTTCCTGGTGAATCAAACAAGGTAGCAGGGCTTAAACCAGGCGGAACCCTAAACATAAGGATAGGGGATTGGACTCTCGCCGGCCGATGAGTGCCAGCCTGATGTTCTCTATTACCAAGCTTGGACTGGGGTCAGGGTCAGGGCTAGGGTTTCAACAACCAAGTTGCGACCCCGAGTTTCTGAACTGGACCCAGGCCCGGATTCTCTTCCTATTTGGAACTCCTCTGCTACGACTACAACATCTGCCACTACCACCACCACCACCACCACCACTATCAGCGAAGGGGCTGAAAACTGCAATATCTCCTTCAACCGTAGGCCCTTGTTGAGTTTCAACCGTGAGAAGCTCGAAAGCTCAAAGGAGCTTCAGTGCGTTCTACCCACCGCTGCAAATATCTGTTCCTGTGCTGGGAGGCGTGAGGCGTTTCAAAGGGAGAAGAGTATGGAAGAACTTCTGGGTGACAATAATATATGTCTTGATTTTTTTCCGGGGTTGCAAGAATTGGACGAGATGAAGAAATGGTTGAAGGAAGAAGAGGCCCAAATTCTTCAAGAGCAGGACATGCATCATTAGGCAAGAGTCTCTAATCGTGTCAACATCTCAATACCCACCATGCCCTCTTCGAGATGATGGATGATGCCTGGTCCTTCCTCATTGTGCTCATCTACCCTGTGTTCTACCCATCGCTGCAAATCGAACCAAGAGCGGCGGGTTCAACATCTTCAATACCCACCATGCCCTCTCTCTGTCTCTTTTCTTCTTCTTATTCTTCCCACCTCGTTGTTCCAACCACTGTTTTCCAGTTAGAGTGTTCAAGAATGGTTTGGGGTTAATTGGAACAGTCACCATAACCTATTTCTTCATTCTCCAGTATACCTCGACCGACGAGTTGAGAAGAAGGGGAGCTGCTTAGTGCTCACTGCTCTTAAGCCTGTTTCTTCTTTTTCAGACGATGCTTTCTACGGCTGAGTCAGGATTCCGACAGCTTTGGTAGATCAGAGAGTATTGCTGTCGGAGATAAGTGGTTCTTTAGTTCCTAGTGTAAGTTGTGCCCTTCGAACCAGACGGATTACCGTAACAGTGATYTGAAAATCCACCATCGATTAAATAGACTCAACCTGGAAATTCGTCTTGCTCTTACTGGTCTTCTCATTGCTAGCCGTGGAGTCCATCCCTGTGTGAATAAGAGCAAGATGAGGTGAGAAGCCCATTGAAATCCCCTTTTGCTGCATCAGTTCTCAAAGAGGAGAGCGAGAGAGAGAGAGGAAGAAAAAGATTTTTGAAAAAAATCGGTCATGTGATTGTCATATTTGATCTAGTGTGATGGAAAGGTATGTCATAAAAAGTATAAATCAAGAACATTCTCCGTTTTCATATTCTCATCTTTACTCTTGCGTTGCTGAAAAAAAAAAAAAATTATTCAAGAATCTGGTTCAACATAATTACCAATTTTGTCAACAATCGTTTCTAGGTTGGTGCAAAAATCTTCTGGTGTAGCAAATATTTCAAGCTCTAATGGTTTTGCCGCCATGTTGGGTTTGGGTGGTATATATTGACAAAACCATTGATATCATTCTATTTCTATAGCACTGCCTTCAAATCAAGTGGTGCAAATGGATTGGATAATGATCAAATCTAATCTGACATCTTTGATCCTTTTCGGTCGAATTTGGATCACCTCATTCGGATTTTCAGATCGGATTGCCCCCTATTTGATCCGAGAAAATCTGACCCTAAATATATTATATATTTATAAACATATATGTTATTTATTTATAAATATATTTATTAAATTTGTTATATTATTTTTTTTGTTTTATAAAAACATGTATATATATGACAAAAATAATTAAAGAAATATTTGTATTTTTTGTTTCTACTTTATTTAAATTAGTATATTTTATTTTTCTTTTAATAATTTATTAATTTTTAAAGAAAATAAGTCAGATCGAATCAGATTCAAAGATCTGACTTACCAATAGGATTCGAATTGAAATCGAATCCTATCAGATTCAGTCGAATCTTCAGATCGGATCGGATCTAACATTAACAATGTCGAATCGGATTCGAATTTGATCTGATCCGTTTGCATCCCTATTCAAATCCTAGGCTGGAAACTATAACCCACTCCTCCTTTAGAACTCCATTGAGCATAAAGAACTACTACTAGAATAGCAACAACCATCCATCAAGCTGAGTGTCGTTAAACCTGTGCAAATCAAGTTTGAATCTCCTACTGTGGGCTCTAGAGTAAGAGCCTTCAAATCGACTGCCGCTGGCTGAATTCAACCCTGGTGGCATAGCCTCTTCTGGGGTTTTACCATGAACAACCATCATTGGTTAATTGCGCTAACTTCTCCAGAATCTCGTCTAGTCATGCATGGAGAGTCTATTGCCCTTTCTCTACTCCGCTCAACCTTTCTTCAACGTCCACCATACGAGGTACCTAGGTAGACGTCTGCTCTGATACCAAAATGCATGGTTTTTAAAATCTGACCGGACGGGAAAAACCAGGAAGACCAGTCAGGTGATCGGTTCCAATTTTTCCCAAAATTGGATTTTTGTCAAAAAAAAACATTGATTTAATCATTCGAACTGTTCAACAGTTTTGACTGTTATTTTATTTTTTATTTTTCTGTTAGAATGGGCCAACCGTTTGATTCGAATGGTCGAACCATTTGACCCGGGAACCAGACCCCTAACCGGTTCGTTCTCCGGGTCGATTTTAAAAACCTTGCCAAAATGTTGTGGACCTACTTTAGGGGATGTCGACCTCCTAGCCTTTGTGAGAGCTGAACCTCTATTTCAATGGTGGAGATACAAAACCAAAGAAGAACAAATAGGCTTCTCCCTTCCATTAGTAGTGTTATAGTACTATTGTCCTTGAACAGATATATAGGTCAAATCATGAAAATGCTTTGGTTAATTCAGTTCACAACATCACATGAATATCAAAATGTTTACCAAGAATGAGCATTTTTCCTAATGACAAGGCCAAATACTTGTCAGATTGAAAGTTTCCAAAATATGGTTTTGGTTTCACCTTCTATTATGTTGTGCATTTATGCTAGAAGGCATTTGTTTTGATATTACTCTATATTCTGTATGATTAAACTGTTTTACATGGTTCAAGTGCTAATTAGCACACCTACTTTTATAGTAGCTGTTGAAATATGTGATAACACTCTCCCTCCTGCAAAATTTCATTTCTGAACCATCAAAATAGTGTTTCTGTATAATTTTTAGTTTGTATGAATTACATTCCTCAACACGTATCAGTAATTGTGTTTATTAGTTTCATCGTTAAAAATCATAGACAATTCATCTATACATGAACGTCTGAAAAAAGTCCATATTTGGGGCAAGGAGTGATTATATGGTCCAGACTCCAGCCAGTCAAATTGATCCGAATCAAACTGAAATTGGTGATTTGGTCTGGACTTAGAAACAGTTTGGTTTAGTCTGGGATCATTCAAATTTTGGTTTACAATTTTGGTTTGGTTTTCTGAATTTAGAAACCAAACATAAAGATTTTAAGTGCTGAACGTCTGAACCTACAACTCCTAGCCAGCTTTTGTATCACGACACACAATTTAGCTGAACCAGAGAATTGATCCAGATTCGTAAAATATCTTTTCGATGGGTTTAACTGGTTTCATCCAAGATTTTAAATTTTGCAACATATCGACCGACACATAGATCATATACAATTAAATAGTTTCTTAATCTTTCATCTGTATCTATTGGACCATTTCAGATATGTATCAGCCGATACAATCCTGAAACAGGCTGATATGCATTATGTATCAACCGAATTTAATTTCCCTCATTTTTAAATTCAAATTTAAATTTAATTCATCTCTTCTCTCTCTCTCTCACTCTCTCATTAATATCAATTTTAATTAAGCCTTTAAATTTGAGACCTCATTAAATGCTAATATTATTTAATTAAATGCTCATTTGAGTTACCTTTAATTTATGCATTTAATACGTCATTAAATGTTATTTAAATCAAATAACTTGTTAAAAATCACAAACCTGAGTTAACAAGTTTCAAACCCTAGTTATTTACTTACAACAATAATTAATTAACCACTATGCCAATCTTAATTGCTTATCATAACATGCTTTTTTATGCTTAAAATAATATTTCTTGCCATTTTTTTGATCAATAATCATCTTTCTTGCCTTGGTGGATGATTCCCAACAAATGCTAAGATTTGATTATTCAAATTTATATAATAATAAGATGAATACAAATTATATTTATTTATTAAAAATTAAGGTATATATTAACTTATATAATATATACATAATAAATATTATCTAAATCTATATAATAAATACTGAGTAATAAATAGGTTAAAAAATATTAACAAATAAATTAGTTATAATCACATAAAACTCAATTTTATTGTTATTTATATTTTTTAAAGATTTTTTTAATTTTCTAACGTATCCATGAATATCTTAATTTTTCATTCATATCTATGCATTTCTAAAATGCATCTTGATAAATTTCTTAAAATTACCTTTCCGATACACCTTGCGTTTCCGATACTTGGAACCTTGGTTCCATCCACAAATCTAAACAGAATCACCTAACCCTGCCAAGTGGCAACTTTATACCCCGGCTGATTTATAGTTTTTTTTTTTCAGTTTGTACCGTCTTTTATTATACTTCCGCAGGTATGTTTACATTTATTCCCATGTTCACACATAACACTTATTCTTACTATCATAATTCACGCATATCGATAAATATACACGATGTTTTCAAGACAAGACTTGATAACAAATAAGAGGGGAGCCAAGGGGCATGTCGACATTGCTGATCCAATAAAAAGCAACTGAATGCTTCTCCACTTGGACCATCTGATTTGAGATAAAATAAATTGTTTTTTTAGGAGCCCCAGTTCAACTTGGTCTGAGAAGCTGGGTAGTTTATTAAAACATTGAAATATGCACTGAAACATTCTTACATCAAAATGACAGTTACCAAGTGTGAAGGTCTCCTTTAGCTCTGTGCACTATTAAAATGATAAATGATGAAACATATCAGAGGTATGGATACAAAGAACTTGCATTTATTACATAATTAGACACTAGAAAGAAAAGGGAGAAGGGGAAGAAATGGAGGATTTAAGTCACAAGTTGAACATAAGAAACAATTAATTGTTCTATGGTAAGTTTGAAGTATAACAAAGTAACCTAGGTTTGACTTCCGTTAGCTGCCAAAAAGCACATGCCAAATGTATTATTAGAAAGAAAAAAAGAAAGCCTTGCCTTTTCACATCAACCAAAAGCTAGGATGATCCATCATAAGCTTATCTGGGAAAAATCACGCCTCAACTACTAATTACCTCAACAAGCTGCAACTGAAAGACTTCAATATTCAAAACATAAATATAATTGGCCATCTAGTAAATAGAAACCCGAAAAGAGATAAGCCAGCAGCAACAAGAGGTTGTTACTTGTTAGGTCTCAACAAGAACTCATGATGTAATTCCAGAAGGAAGAAGTGCAGCAGCAACAATCCTCCCTTCCTCATTCAGTATGTTATAAGTTGATGCAGCATTTCTCTGCCAACCAGATGAAATAAGGAAAGAAAAAGGCCAACCATCAGGTGTATTTTAGCAGAGGAGAATAGGTGCATATAAGGAAGCTGAAACCATCTCATCCATGTAGTGTTAAAAGCCAAGCATCATAATTTTCCATTAAGGTTCCATTTGGTTTGTGGGATGGGAATGGAAAATATGAAATATTCTCAAACATTATTCTTCCCTTCCCAGGTTTGTAGGATATCATGAGATGGGATGGGAAAAAGGTGGGATTACAGATCTCAATTTTAGCGATGTGAAATCCCACCATTTTTTGTGAGAAACAAGTGAGAAAGGAGGGAGAAACTTGTTTAATAAGAAAAAACACCTTCCTTGTAGTGTTTTTAAGAGTTAACATTAGGCCCATGATGCATTAATAAACTTTATTTAATAAGACAATAATCGAATAATTAATTACAATTTATTAACAAATACGAATTAATAAAATAAAATATTAACAATAAGCATACCAAATAGTAAAAAATATTATTAATTAATTCATAATTATTTAATAATTAACAAAAATTAGTTAATAATTAATTAAGTAATTATTAAAAAATAATTAGTTATATTATTATTAATTTAATTAATAAATAAATAATAAAAGTGGTACTTAATTGAAAATAACTAGTAATACAAAATAAAAATTATTTATTAATTCATAATTGTTAATAACTAATTAATAATTATTTAATACAATAATTATCAATATTCATTAATTGACTAATTATTCACAAAATTAATGAATAAAAATATTAATAACAAATAATACTAAATCATAAAAAAGTAGTTAATATTTAATTAATAATTAACAAAAAGTAGTTAATAATTTATTGATTAGGTATTAATGAAATTAAATAATTACATTATTGCAACTTCAATTAATACATAAGTAATAAAAATTTCGAGTCAAAAATATTAATAAATATTAAATATTATCAAAAAATTAATAAATATTAAATATTATCAAAAAATTAATATTTAATTAAGTAATTATCTAAACATAAAAATTTTAATTATTAATTTTATTAAATATTACTAATTACCTAATGAATTAATTAACAATTGTTATTGGGGTTGATTTTCCCACTGTTTTCCCTTTTGCAACCAAACAAGGGAATGGGAAAATTTTCCACACATTTTTCCTTGTCTCATCCCTTTTCATCCCACTGAAATCTTCCCTCAAACCAAACATAGCCTAAATTCACCAACTTAAAGACCAAGCTTGTAAAAGTTTCACAACTCTAAAGAGATTACGTTCTGGTTCTTAAAGGTAGCTAAGAAAGACCCAAAATTTATTCTTGGCAACACTATATCATGTTCCCAACTTCCAAGTTTCAATCATCATCATCATCTAAGCCTCATCCCAACTATATGGGGTTGGCTACATAAATCCAGTTTTGCCATTACATTCTATTTAGTGCCATATTCGTTGTTAAATTAAAAGCGCTTAAATCATTTCTTACTACTTACAACCCATGTCCTATTTGGTCTATCTTAACCCTTCTAACCCCTTCAACTTGCACTAGATCGTTTCTAACATATAGGGGTGTCAATTGAACTAGATTTGGTCCAATCCAATCCAATCCAATGTGAGTCCATTATAAATGGACCAGGTCAAATCCAATCCAATGAATATTTTGGACCATTTTGGACTGGTCCAATTCAATGTTTGGAGCATCCAATCTATTCAAATTCCTTTTGATTTAGATTGGTTTCAACCCAAACCCGGTCAATTAATACCTATATTGTTATCTGATATAAATGGACCATATATTGGCTTAATCCAACCTAATCCAATATAAATTTATCATGGATGGACCAGGTCCAATCCAATCTAATAAATACTTTGGACCAGATTGGTGTCTTGTTGGTCCATCCAAATTGATTTTGGACTAGACAGGGTCCAATCCAAAACCGGTCCATTGACACCCTTACTTACATATGCTATAGATGGCCTTCTATGCACATGATTAAACAATGTTTTCGAACTGTCGTTGACCCGGACAGTCGGACCATTCGGACCAGAAACCGTTCAGGTGACCAGTTCCATTTTACCCCAAACCCGTTATTTGGTCAAAACCGTTGAATTAGTCAACAAATCATTGACCCGAACGGTTTGACCATTGAACCATTCGACCCGGAGAACGGTTTGCTGTAAGGTTTTAAAAACTGAGAAATCTCAGATCTGCGCAGATCTTGTCTCTCTCACGTGAGAAGGTGAGAGAGATCTGAGATGTGTGAGACAGATCTGCACGAGATGGTGAGAGAGTGAGATCTGAGACTGAGAAATCTCAGATCTACTTTCATCACCATTTTGCCACCATCGCCGCCGCTGTTGCCGCTGTAGTTCGCCATCGCCGTCACTGTTGCCACTGTAAATCGCCGTTGTCGCTGCCACTGCAACCTGCAAGTCCTCTTCTTCTTCTAAACTCTTTCAGTTTCAGCCGACAGTTTTCTCAAATCTCTCTCATTCAAAGTTTCAAACCTTATTTTCTCTTATATAGTATGCATCTTACCCTAATATTCCAATCTAATGGGTATGATGTTCAAACCGTTCAGACCGTTTGACCCAGATGGTCGAACCGCTGACCCGGAAACCGGTGGCTAGAATGGTTCCGTTTCCAGGTCAGTTTTTAAAACCTTGTGACTAAACCATTTCAATCTACTTTTCAATTTATCATCTATTGGAGCTACTCCTGGGTTCCTTCGGATAACTTCATTTGTGACCCTATCATCATCATCATCATCATCATCCATGCCTTGTCCCAACTATATGGGGTCAACTACATGAGTCCTGTTTTGCCAATCCATTCTACTTAAAACCATGTCCACTGTTAAATTATTAGTGCTTAAATCATTTCTTACTACTTCAACCCATGTCCTTTTTGGTCTACCCCTAGCTCTTCTAGCCCCTTCCACTTGTAACTCATTTATGACCCTATTTTCCACTCATCCATCTCAGCATATGCATCATCTTCCAACTTCCAGTGCATGCCAGTTTTGCACTGAGGTCTAGTGGATACCATTTACCCTTTGAATGAATCAAGACAAATAATTCTTCGCAGCAAGCTTGATATTGAGGGCACTCTAGCAGGATAGCAGCACCATGCCCAAGAAACACAGTAATGACATACCAGCTCTTGAAGGTGTTTTACTCACTAATACCAATATCCAGGCATCATCCACCTTCAATCAAGGAATTGATGCCACCCATTCTATTATCCTGATTCTCATTTATCATTCTTTTTGCATTAAGGTAGCATTTGGTTTGAAGGAAAAGAAAGGAAAATTTGGAATATTCTTAAAGATCCCAAATGAAGTTTCAAGTGGTGAATCACTTGCAAGATATACATATAATCTAATTCTAAGCTCTGTGTATGTGTGTGTGTGAGAACTGACTTGAGAGGCTATGATCACTGTTTGACCCAAATGTCCCAGGTGCATGACCTTGCTCCAGCAAGTGTCAGAAATAGGATTCACTCAAAACTCAAAACCATGGTTTTAAAAAATGACCCGGAAATGGAACCGTTCTGGCCACCAATTTCTTGGTCAACAGCTCAACTGTCCGGTTCAAACAGACGGCCCGTTCTGACAAAAAAATAATTAAAAACATAAAAACGGCCAAAAACCATTGAACAGGTCGACAGTTTGACTACCCGGGTCAACGGGTCATTGACTGATTCAATGGTTTTGGCCAGGGACCGGGTTTGGGGTAAAATGGAACCGGTTGCCTGGATGGTTCTCAGGCTGAATGGTCCAACTGTCCAGGTCAACGGCGGTTCAAAAACCATGCTCAAAACATAAACCTCTTGGACAAAAAAAAATGTGTTGGCATTATACTTTTCTCTTTTCCCAACATTACCACTTCCTCTTCTTTCACCGAGTTTCCCAAGACAAACACTAACATGTTAATGGTATAGGAGAAAGAAAATGAATAACTGAACCAAAGAAACAAATCCAAAATTATGAAAGGAGTAACAACCGAGATAAAATAAATACCGAATCAATGGCTTCTAGTTTCATCCCAATTGACCGAATGAAGTTTCTAAGTTCAGGATTCACATGTTCAATGTGCCTTCCACAGCCAAGAATCAAAATTTCTGAAAAAGAATGAATATTGTAACAAGCAATTAATAAGTACAAAAGAGGATTACATAACGATTTGTGCTACTTGCAATTTGCAAACAACCTTGCTTTCTCTGTTTCTAACACACTTTCAGCATGTCATATCTTTGATTATGTTGCCATATTTATTACCTCGAATATCAGTGCAATTGTAGTTTCTGTAACACTTCTTTTCTGTTTCATTGAATTTTAGAAAATCTCATGTGAGATCCTCATAAGGGTCATTACATGGTGTAATGGTAAAATCTCAGGCTGGCAAGCATGAGAATGCAGGTTTGAGTCTGAGAGCAGCTACTTTGTGAAAATAAAATAAAAGGCCAAAGGACCATATCCAGTGTACCCCTCCCAACAGCCCAGATATATGGGACTGACATTGTGTAATAGCCTTTTTTTTTCTTTCATTTGAGATCCTTACCTTTTTTCCAATTTTCTTCTTCGCTTAGCAAATGACATTTTCACTCTTTGAATAACTATAACTATAATTATATTGAATTACTTTTATTTATTTTCATATGTATACCTTTATAATTACTTTGTTCAAACACCTAAAACCTAGACCTAACTGAGCTGCATGTGGAAGCAACTAGGCCATCACCTCAACATCATTTTATCTTCTTTTCTTTGTGATCATCTAAAAGTTCATCCAATGACATAAATTAAATTACAAACTGCATGTAGTATACATAAAATCTATACATAGTTAAAAATAGTAAATAAGTTATTGTATACGTTTCTCTAATGTGCAAATCTATTTATATGTTTTTTGATCAATAAAAATCATAAATAATTTAGCCTAGGCAATCAATCACTCAGTCTTGGTGGAGGTACTGCATGCCAAGACAACCATATAGGGCATGGGCAGCATGCTAATAATTACTTACAAAACATCTAATTTTTTGTTTAATGCATTTGTTGTGATGGTTGTAAAGAAACAGTTGATCACCTCTTTCTTCACTGCTGATTTGCTGCTAATATGTGGGTGAAGGTGTTATGTTTATTTGGGACACAAATCTGTTCTCAAGCAACAACAAAGGAGTTCCTGGAAACAACACACACACACGCACAGAGAGAAAATACACTATGCGTTGCTCTAGAACATACTATAGTCCAAATATACAGTCATATATACCTCTCCTATTAGGTTTTTTTTTTAATTGGTGCACCATCCTTTGGGCATAGGCTGGAGAACAGAAAAACCAGAAGGGATTCGCCATCCAATATTAATATAAATTGGATAGATGAAAAGAGAACAGGTATAACTGTTGGAAGGGAAGGTATGTACATCAGGAGATTAAATCTCCTTCATTGGTTTATTCAGTCTATGCCCCCATTCAGAAGATGGTACATTGATTGAAGCCTGCATTGACTAATTGTTCAAAGACATGAACAAAGGAAGTAGGACACCACCACCTTTTTTTTCGATAAGTTAGGAACCACCTTTCTTCTCTAAAAAGATGTCAACTAGATGCTCACCTGGTGTAGGTCGAATAACCTGGAGGATAGATAAGCTGCAATAATAAAGAAAATACGATGTTAGTTACAACTGATATTTGGAGATTTGCACATACATATTTTGATACTGTACAACAAAATTCAGTTACACCAATGATGTTATAAAGAAAAGACTTAATATCTAAAATTCCATGATTTCAGAGTGTAGGCTATGAATTTCTTAAGGACACTTCTATATTTAGGAAAGCCTCTTGTGCAATTGATGGTGCATAAAGTCTATAACTATAAAAGTTTACACCTTGAGTTGAGATCTGTTCCTCAATGCAAAGCTTTTGTGAAATGCCAGAAGCCTAGTCTTCAATTATTTATTCCAAGGCCTACTCAGAATGCTGAGAGTATTACCTTTACAACATGCCTTAGGCTGGGCCCTGAAATCAGAAGTAAATTTGGAGTTTCTTTTCATTTTCTTTACCTTTTTCTTGGTGAGAGTATATATGTAACTACAAAGAAATTGCAACCTCAAAGAGTGTAACAAATGATTTCTACTACCGCTCTGATTAATAATGGACCTGTGAATGGGTAAGGATTGGCACACAGGGAGGTCCTTGCTAGGATGGCAAGATAGCACTAGGAGGAGGTAGTCGGAGGTTGAAGGGGAAGTGAGCTCAGATCTAAGATTTAAAAGAGTTAGAGCAGGAAGAGGAGTCTCAGAAGGTGCAGTTGTCTGCTTCAGGGACTCATGAAGGAAGAATGGAAATCTGATCTCTTGAGACCCTGCCTTGGAGATCCTATTTATAGCTTTTCCTGAAGGCTTTTCCCTTCCAGAAAGTTCTTTCTGGACTTGCTTCTAGAAGACTGGCCGGATTTGTGCCATCTGGACTAGTTGGGGAGTCACCATGTGTCCCTACTGGGCTTTAGTACTTGGGTGTTCACCCTACCACGACATGCATGTGTGGAGCCATGAGCTGCAACTGCAACGCCCTTCCCTAAGTTTGTAGCACCCATGTATGTGATTGTTTGCGACCTGGCTAGTTGTTAATCTTTTAGATTTGTGATTTGGCTATCTGGCAATTCATTTTGACATGCAACTAGGCACATTGTTGTGATGCAGCATGTCCCGCTCGCATTGCATTCCGGATTGCAAGTCGTGGTCCCTTGGGTTTTACTTATAGTTCTATGTTGTTGGCTCAATCATACCCTTTTCAATGGGCAATCACTAATCACATTCTCCTACAAGACCTAAAAGTTTTTTAAATATTTTTTTTTACATATAACTGTTATGCTCCTTTTTCTACCATGTATGCCAAGTTGTATATAGCTCCTTTTTCTAACCATGTAAGTTATATTTTGTTGGAACCATGGTTGCCAATATTAGCAAGATTCGGTGAAATCTCCTCATTTCACTTAAGGGGCAATATGAAATATTCCAAAAATCTCTCTCCCCCTCGGCCCCTCCTATCTCTGAACTCTGATACATTGCCAATGTAGTGGGTATGTTTCAAATTTCATTGACAAACTATACATCTAAGGTTTAAAATTTTATATATCATTGAAATTTTTCAATATTTTGTTAAAATCACAAAAAATAAATAAATCTATTTCAAAAAGAACAAATGGGGACTCTACAATTGGATGACAGATTACTCTACTAAATGCTAAGTCACTATAATTCAAAAAATAAAGAAAGAAAGAAAAGATGATACTCAACTATAAAGGGGAAAAATGGAAGTTAAACTGGCAAGTGAATGGCATGGCTATAGAAGATAGGATGGCCAAAAGGCTAAAAGGGAGACAAAGAGAGATGCCCATTTAAGTCTCTTAATCTTCTCTTATTTGATGTAATAGTTGTTTGCTATGTTTTTTGAGTCTTAATGTGAAATTATACTTCTGGGTTATCAAAGCTCCCGTGAAAATGTCCAAAAAAAAAACATAACAGTGACGTTTTTCCAGGTTTTTCAAAACTCCAACCACTAACTACTGGTAAACCTGTGGCCTGTAGTACTCTAGAAGTGTGTTCTTTCTTTTTTTGTTTTTGGTGGGCTAATCTAGAAGTGTTTCTTGCCATTACCTAGAAGTCGTGGGGATCCCCAAATGAATTCAAAATGGAAACTGAGAGAAATTGTCTTTCCGTACATTCATTCAAAGTCAAATGAGAAATTGTCATGAAGCACCAAAAATGATTTGATAAACCATATGAAAGGATCTACATAGATATATCATTTGTTATCTGTCAAGGTAAAAGAGGAAAACAAATTCATTCAGATATTTCATAAGAATAATGAAGGGAAACTAAATAAACAATTAAAATATGCTCATGGTTATTCCATATTACACACCAAAGCACCACAAAAAGATTCCTCCACCAAAATATGAGCAAGTAACCATTTGCCTAATTTGATTTCTACAAAGGAATAGAACCAATCCCAGGTACAGCATTGGAGTAACTGGAGCAAAGCAATAGTACCAATCCCAGGTTCAACAATGGATTAGCTGGAGCATTCACCCCAAGGCCCAAACTAGGTAATAACACCAAACATGACCACCTAAGTCCAAACTCATTAATCCAGACTATTGAGTCGTAAGGCTACTTCCTCAGTGGTGAATAACCCAAAACACAGAAAAAAAAAAAAAAAAAAAAATCGAAAACAAATAGGATAAGTTTTAGCCACCCAGTTCACTTTAATCAAAATCAATAAGTTAAGTGCTAATCAACCTAAATTCCAATTTCACTAGCGTAAAGCCCATAGTTATTGTTGTTCAGTCTCCTCGTTCAGACAAAACTAATATGGAAATAGAAATGGAAGTCATCTTCCTAGACCATTCAAAAAATTACATCCAGAATCAATTCAAGAACATACCTGTCTGCAGTGATCTCTGAGAACTTCTTGGGGCCCCAAGACATAAGCAAGTTTCCGATACAAAGCAAGCTACCCTCATACTTAACTCCATTTACTGTAAACCCCGTATCAGTATACCTAGACAAAAAAGGAACGAAGAAATAGATGAGAAAAAATGAAGGACAATAAATTATCCAATCAAATGAGTTGCATAGAACTAAAAACCACTCGACGTGCAATCAAAACGCATAACTGAAGCAAGTAATCATAGCAAGTCAACATACCCTTGGAAGCGCAATTGATCCTCAGGGACATTATCGATGAGATTGATCTGATCGTAGAGAGAAAAGGCGCGCCTAAGAGAAGGGAGCGGCTGATTTGCAGGTTTAATTGTACTCTTGCTTAGGGTTCGTAGAAGGGAAGGTAGGGTCCTTGCTGCTGTGTGCCTCGCGGCAGCCATTTCGTTCCACCAGCTCGATAGCTCGGTCCCGCTGTCTTCTTCTCATTCCTGGTTCTCTGACCCTCCCCAAAACGAGGGTGAGCAAAAAATCCGAAAATACCGAACCGACCGAAACCGAACCGAAAATCGGTTAACCGAACCGGTCGGTTCGGTTTCAGTTCGATGTTTTTAAAAAATCGAAGGTATCGGTTCGGTTTCAGTTAACCAATATAAAAACCGGCAGTTAACCGAACCGACCGATATACATATATTTCTATATATTTTATATATATTTATATTTATATATATTATATATATTTTATATATCATAAATTAATAAATATACATTATATATATAAATATATATTTATAATATATTATTTATTATTTATTATTTAAAATATAATATTTTATATATATATTCATAATTTTTTATTATATATTTATATATATTTGTATAATATATATTATAAAAACTAAAAAACTGAAAAACCGGCTAACCGAACCAACGGTTAACCGAATCGGTCAAGCGGTTAATCGACTAATTTCGGTTCAGTTCCGATTACCGGTTTTCCAAAAACTGGTGCTACTGGTTTGGTTCAAAAAAAAGGCCCACAGTTCGGCCCCAATAAGCACAAATTTTTGCCACGTGGCACATGCATAGGCTCTACCTGATACTAGCTTGGATCAAGCTAAATCGACCGTGTTTGGAGTCTGGAAACAGTATTCGAAAATCCAAATTGGAATCTGAGATTAGGCATAATCAAATTGAATTCGTATATTCGGTCAAATTCGAATACCATTTTTTTGCTGAATATACTAAAAAAAGGTTAAAAAATAAAAAAAAAATTGAGAAAATGAGAAATGAGTTCGAAATCAAGTTTTGAGTCTTGACTTTCGAACCTTACCTCTCTCCAGTCTCCACTCTCCATCAAGTTTCAAACCCTAACCTTAAGTTCCTAACCCTCCGTCCCTCCCTTTGCCATCGCTGGACACCGCTAGAGCAACCACCATCACCGGTCGCCGCCCCTCATCCTCCGCTACTTCGTCTAGTCGTCTCTCATCTAGTCACCTCTCATCTTTTCTCTCTATCTCTTTTCTTAGTGAGACAATGACTTAATATTGCCACCACCCAAGCAACCACCATCACTGACGATAGCATTAGTGATGGCGGTTGAGCACCGGTCACCGGCCACTATCGTCTCCTTTGCCACTGCTCAAACTCCTCAAGGCCCTCAACTGTCCAGCATCACCAGCCATTGTGCTACAACAGTACAACATCACCGGCCAACACTGCTCACTAGTTACTACCATTGCATTTGCACTACCAGGAACCCACGACTACCGCCGTCACACACTCACACTTGGCCCACCATCAGGAATCCACAACTGCCATCGTCAATCCCCTGCCTCTTTTCTTAAGGTAATCGCTTGCTTTTCTTTGCAAACTCAATCATTTAGGATTCTAGGCCTCATGCCAGTCAAATTCGAATTGAAACATTCGATATCCCGTCGGATATCAAATCGAATTCAAATATTGTTCTTTATAATCAGTTTTGAATTCAAATCTAGCCTAATTCGATTCGAATTCGATCTATTTATAGGCCTAAATTTTTACTTCTAGGCCAATGACATCAATTGGATCACCCGGGTGTTCACCTTGCATTTTGGTGTGGTTTTTGAGAAGATTTTGGACCAAGCTAGTAAATTATGTTTTAAAAAATTTTTAAATCAAATCAAACCGTTTTGGCATAAAAATCAAATCATATTATTACGGTTAGTGTGATTTTTAATACGGTTTGGGGAACTTTGAATCATTGTTTGATTCTATTGGGCTTAACCCAATTAGAAATCCCAAATAGCACCCCTAAAAATTACTTAAAACTTCTATTTATTATTTTATTGTAAAATAAAAGAGTTTATTGTATATTTATAATTTTATATATTTGGCTTAGATATATTATATTACATTATGTTTATACATCATTTATTTATATAATTATATTGTATATTTATACATTTATATTATACTAGTAAGTGTGCATGTGTTTTGCACGTGACAAATCTAGATGATGATAATGATAGGAATAAYGTATCCAAAATTTTTTATAAAATTCATGTATTTTTTATTTTTTTATATTTTTGTTTTTCACTATTAATCGGATGTAGATTGCAAAATCCAAATCTGATTACATAAGCACCTCATATTGGGCTACAAAGTTTTGGGTATCATCGGCAGGCATTCCTATTTGGCTAAACTCTTCTTTTTTAATGTTTTTATCTTCTTAGTGTATACTTTTTGGTTCATTTATCAAAAAAAAATGTAAGATTTAAAAAGGGGGAATTGAATGAGGTGAAAATTGTAGTTCAAACTACATTTTAAACCTCACAATTAAATAGGGATTAAATTCAAAAAATAGGTATTTTAGTCAAAAAAAAGTTCTACAATTTTATTCATATTTTTAATATTAGTGTAAATATGGAGTTATGGATATGTTTAAATTTTTCTATATATTTTTTATTTCTATGTGTGTAAAAATAATATTGTTATTTACACTTGTTTTTGGTTTAATATGTTAAATATATGATATTATATTTGTGACCAAATGCTTTTTTGTAAATTTATATATTTTTTATATTTTATTATTTAATTTTGACATTAAAGGTTGACATATTTGACCCAAAAGTTGAATTATTAATCTCCACCAAATAGGAAAATAATTCCATTTTTTGTTAGTTTTAGATTATGTATTTCATTTTCATCATCAATAAAAATAATTCTTGTTTATTACACTTATTTTTTAATTTGATTAATAAAAAATATCATAAATGCGTCTATTTTTATCTAAATTTTTTATATTTATTTTTATTTAAAAGTTTTATTATCTAACTTTGACTTCATGGGTTGCCAATTTGCTTTGGATAGTTGAATTGCTTAGTGATGGATTGGATAAAGAATGATTTTGTTTTTGAGTAAGTTTTAAAATATATAGGTTTATATTGTTAAAAGTATTGCACATAAATCTAATTACTAGCATTTATTAGTGAAAAATTAACTTAAATATGTGATTTAATAAGAGGGAATGAGAATTAATACCATAAATACAAGAGTTAATGAAAGGGGATTAAATGAGGTGAAAAGCATTAATTGAAATTACATGTTTAACCTTCATAATTGGATATGGACAAAATAACAAATGTGGGCATTTAGTCAAGAAAAGTTCCACACCCTCATTCGTACTTTATATATAACAATGAACACCCCTTGTTCCTTGTGGAGTCAATAGTTCCACTAGCATAGAAACTTGATGAGTTTGGTGAGAAGCAATTTGAAATCTAACAAAGGTACAGTCCAAAAGTGGATTCATTAGTATTTAGTGGCCATTAAACCTATTCATGAGTAGGTTTGGGTCGGGCTTTACCCCCTTTTAATAGATAATGTCCATGTCTAAGCCCAAGCCCGAGTCTAGCCCAATTGTTAGGCCTATTATTAACCTTGAGCCTAGATGGTAGGGGTGCTCATGGTTTGGTTAATTGAACCATGGACCTTTTTTCTAAAATGAACCGGTAGTATCGTTTAATTATATTTTTATTAGTTATTTATTGTATTTTTATTATTAATATATTTTCAATAATTGTGTATTTTTGTTATAAATTTTTAATAGTTATTGGAGATTAAATTATTGTTATTTATTAGAGATTAGACTATTAATTTAGCTGAAATTATGAGTGGTCATGGGTTAGTTCGGTTCAGTTCGATTATAGGCTATTTGTCCAACCAAATCGACCTAGTTAGTTTGGAAAGTTGGTCACCCAAAATTGACTGACCATTAGTGAAAATTGGCCAACTCGGTTTTGTATTAATTTGGGTCAATTTTCGATTTGGTTAGTCAATTCAAAAGATTTAAACTTAAAAAATTAAATTTAGATTTAAAAAACTATAGTGGCATTATTAAAAAAATAAATTTAAAAATTAAATTTATGATCTAAAATATTTTAGACTAAGAAATATGAGAATTTCCCACTTTCCCAATTAATACCCTATACTTTGAGCCTAGTGCCACTTTGGTCCCCGAACTTTAAAATGCGACAATTCAATATCCAAACTTGTAAAACGTGACAATTCAGTACTTGTTGTTAACTAGCTGTTAACCAATTGTTAAGTGGCATTTGAAAAAGACATAAATGCCCTTCAAGTGTTATTTAGTTTTCTTTATCAACCTCCCAAGCGTTGACAAAAAATTAACAGCCCCAAATCTTTGCCTTTTCCATTGAAGAAAGTTGGGGTCACGTTTGAGTGGGCATTCTAGTGACCCCAACATTATTGAATAGAAGAGGCAAGGATTTGGGACTGTTAGTTTTTTGTCAATGTTTGTATGGTTGATAAAGAAAATTAGATGACACTTGAAGGGCATTTGTATCTTTTTCAAATGCCACTTAACGATTGGTTCACAACTAGTTAACAGTATGTACTAGATTGTCATGTTTTGAAAGTTTGGGTACTGAATTGTCTCATTTTAAAGTTCAGGGACCAAAGTGGCACTAGGCCCAAAGTATTTGGATGGTTAATAAAGAAAATTAGATGACATTTGAAGGGCATTTGTGTCTTTTTCAAATGCCACTTAACGACTGGTTCACAACTAGTTAACAGTAGGTACTAGATTGTCATGTTTTGAAAGTTCGGGTATTGAATTGTCACATTTTAAACTTTGGGAACCAAAGTGGCACTAGGCCCAAAGTATACGATACTAATTGGGAATTTCCCATTATATTAAAATATAATATATATGTATATATAATGACTAAAGCCAACCAGAAATACTAGAAAACTAATCTGTTGGTGGGTTTCATCAGTTTGATATTAAAATTAATTATTATTATTTTTATATTATAAAAAATAATTAAAAATAATATAAAAATACAAATAATTATTAATTATTTAAAAATTAAAAAATATAAAACAGTTATATACTTTTATTTGTTTCTATTATTTAACTTTTACTTAACAAATCCTGACCCATATTGCATCACTTAACAAATCCTCACCCATATTGCATCAAATAATCCTTGGTAAGGTGTCAT